TTGCTGCTGAAATGTGCTATACAAATAAAATTTGATTGATTGATTTGATTGATTATGCAAACTAAACTCAGTTTTAAAACTTAGTTTTAAAAAAATCCTTGTAACATTTTTAAAATCTGACAAACCAAAATAAAACGCTCTTAACGTCTCTTCATGAACTACAAGGACCTTAAGAATGGCCCATAAACATCTATTACAGCCATGAAGCTACTTATTGAATGATAAGGAGAACGCCTTTCATGTTGTTTTTGACAGCTGCTCATTGATCTTCGGCATTGCTGTGTGTAGTTACTCTCCATGGGGGAAGAAGGCAAGAAATGATTACAAACATCATTAGTAGAAAGATGAGTTGTCATTGTGATATTACAAGCTATGGCAGCATTGTTTGACGGATACTCACACACTGCAGAGATGAGCAGGAAGAGGACGGCTAAGGAAAGCAGTCCAGTATCCTTCCTGCAGTAGCTGAGCAAGCGTCCCAATGTAGCCCTAGAGCTGACCTTCTCTTTCTCCTTCCTCCCTCCAGCCTCCTCCTCTTCACCAGCTGTATCCACCAGCTTCTCTGTGTCCTCGGAGACCCTTCCTCCTCCACCACGGCTGTTCCTGACTTCCAGCCCGCTCGCGGAGCTGGAAACCCTCCCGAGCTGCCTCCAGAGAAGCACGACACCCAGGGAGGAGGCGCAGGTCCATCCCATCAGGCTCAGAAAACATGGCTGCCGGTTGAGGGGCTCCACCTCGGTCAGCATCAGCAGCTTGACCAAGGTGTAGGTGATGACAACCATGCAGAAGAGGAGAATGACGGTGGTGACCCGGGCAACCCTGGGCGGGCCGTCCTCCCTGTTCCATAAAACCCCAATGGAGGCACCCAGCAGGAGGGATGCTCGGAGAAGGACAATGCCCCACAGGTCAAGGGCGGAGCTCAAGATGTTAAAGTCCAGGACATCACGTATGAAGAGGGACAGCTCTGTCCCCTTGATGTATAGGACAGTGGTGATGACACTGTCAAGGACAACGTACAACAGAGTGCAGATGACAGGTGCATAGATACCCATGCTGATTATTGGAGTCAGAGTTTAGAACTCCCGAAGCTTTACTGAACAGACAAATAGCAACCTTTTTAAACTAAGACTAATTATTTAAAGCTAAACTGTTGAAATTTAAGTTAAAAAAAAAACTTTTCTGGTAACTTTCATTTACATTTTCACATTGTAAAAAAAAATGACCGTGGTTTAAGTATCTCAATCTCTAACGTAAACTCTTATTTTGAAATTATTTTTGCTTCCGGTTTCTTCAAGCGTATCTTCTAAATATCAAGAACTGAAGTAGTTCATTGCGCCACAAACTATTTTCAGGGATCGCGATAAGAACAGGTAAGTCCTAGTCATTCCACTACTGCTACCTCGGAGAAGGACAGTAGTGACTTGGTGTTTAATATTAGCAGCTAGCAGGTGCTGAGCTAAAGTCAGGTAACGGCTAGTACCATATTGGATTTATACCTCACCGTCCAGCAGTCTGTATGCTACTTCTGCTTACTAACTGCATTCTGTCCCAGTTTTGGTTAAAGTACATAAGCAAACAGACGCGACACTCACGCCTCACCGAAGCAAGTTGGGCTTCTCTCTAAAGGTATGGCCGAAATGTCAAGTTTACACCGGCATCAAAGATCGTCTATACTCCAGACCATTCACAGGAAGAGCCAATAAAGACTAGCCCTCTGGCTTTATTTCTGTTTAATAAGTAAATTAGAACCTATTGTATAATAATATCCAGCATGGGTACCACACATCTAAACATGTCGAAAGTTGAAGATATGAGCTATTTATTGCTACCTCAGTTTGTATCTCTTTAAAGCAGTGACACACGTCACTGTCTCAATCTGTGAACAAACGAAGAAAAAAAAGCATTGTTTTTGCCCTGCATTGTTAATAGAAGTTGGGACTATAATTTTTTTTTACAATTCACATTTTTTCTCAAATTGGCATAAAAGAATACTCAAACGTGATATATGATTCACAGATGCGAGTTCACAACAGTTAATCAGCCCATATTAATTTCCCAGAATGGGTGGCGCATCTCATATATAAATGATCAGTGAAATTCCCCAGCTTGATGTGGTAATGACCGCCATGTGGCTCCTCCCAGCAGATTATTCAACTGTATGCTGAAACATTATAATCACTCATTTAAATGGTTTAAACCTTTAACTTTGAAAAGCCCTGAGAATTGAATAACTTTATTGCTACTTTATAAAGTTGATTCAATTCCAAATGTTTCTGAGAGTCACATAATTAGAAGTCCCCGCAGAGGTAAAACATAACATATATTCATTCATGTTTTTCTCTCCAGGTTGGAATTATTTCTGTTTTGTTACTACATTTTATGCGACAACACATAGTAGTGCACATTTTACAAATAATACTCTAAAAAGTATGTGTCTCTGTGTTATTTAATGGCATTAAAGGTTTGTTAGAGAACATCATGGTAGAAACAGCATCATAAAAACAAAATAAGTTATAATACAACACAGGCTGGGACACACCAACAGGCTGGGATTAAAACCCACATCCTTATTGCTGTAAAATAACTGCTCCAACATTTGTGTCCACAAATGATAATGGAAAATAGTAAGGAAAATGCAATGTGTGGGAATTTAACAGTGGACATCAGCCCACACACATTATCAGTGTAACATGGTGGAGGTAGCATCATGCTGTGGGCATGGGACTAGAAAGCTGGTCAGAGTTGATCAGAAAAAGACAGACAGAGCCAAAAACAGGACAAACCTGGTAGAAAACGTGTTAGAGGCCACAAAGGTTCACCTTTTAACAGGTCAGTGACCTTGAACATGTTTAAACCATATGTAAAATGGCCCAATCATTTTAACAGCTGAAAACTGTTGAAAACAAATCCAGTTGAAAACCTGGGACAATACCTTGAAATTGGCAAATATTTCTTCCTCTGGATGTGGAAAGCTGTTTGAAACACCTGGATTTGTATTTGTCATTCATATGTGAGGAAAAAAATAAAGCCAAGTGCAAGTTTTCTTCCACTCAACAGTTCTGCACTACTCTGTGTTGGTCTATCACATAAAATCCTAATATGTTAAAAACTGTAATCTTAAGATGTGAAGAAGTGACTTTTTTTATTTTTGCAAGGCACTGCAGGTGCATCTCAGCGTTCATCGTAGTCGCTTTTCCACTGCTTGCTGACATCGACCTTTGACCTTCTGCCTAAGGTTCCAGGCAGCACTAGGTTGCTTTCGGTCACATGCTACTGATGCGTCGTTTTTCTGCAGAGTCGTCCTCCTCAGTGGACGTCAGGCTCAGCCAAGCGGTAGGCGAGCTCAGCCTTTACGTCCTCAGAGCTGTTCTGCTCAGTGGCCAGCACCGTCTCCACGGGAAACGACAAAAACAAGCTCTCTTTGACCTTTTTGGCCGGGGGCGAGTCCACCACGCCGAACAGGGTCTCCGTTTTAATGTAGGGGCTCATTTTTAATGTGGTGGGAGGCGTGTTCTGCGTCCTGCGTTTGGCGTTCTTCTTCTTCTCCTGCTTGTAGGCTGCGTTCATGTTGGCTATTACCTGTAAATAGACCGCGCACACACATACACACAAAAACAGAAAAATTAGGTTTCATTTCATTCAATCATCATAAACGCTAGTTTTTATGCATCTTTCTTTTTAAGTGGATTATATTTGTATAAACTAATTTGATTAAAAAAATGTAGTTGAATGTAAACTAGCAATTTGTCTTGTAAGGTGTAAGTTTATTAAAGTGGCTTTATTTCAAAAGTGGCATTCTGCCAAAACAACTGAATTGTATTGAATTAAATCTGTAGTTCTCTATTATTTAACCACAGCAGACAGCTTTATTTGACCATGTTTAATCTGAGTGAGTAACAATTACATGTGGGGTTCTTCAAAGTTCCATTCTGGGGCCTCTATTGTTTGGAATGGACTCGGTGACCTGTCATCTGGCATTAGTAATTTGGCTTTAGTGTATATAATCTTTGAAAATACCAGTCACTAAAATGATTATCAAGGATATAGTTTTTGTTGTTATTTGAATTTTGATGTCTTGAAATCTGTTGTCTTTAATTTTGGAAGATTTTTTGTGTATTTGTCCCTGAAACACCTGACGGTAAAGCCGCAGATTCAGGGGTTATTTCTAGTATGCATATGCATACAGAGTTCAGAATAGGGTTTGATGATGTTTGTTGCCATAATAACGGTGATGACAGACATCTTTACATTCCACATGGTCGCAGCACTCAATCTACATGATGGTTTCAATAATATCAAGGGGGGAAAGAATTTTCTCCAACTTGGTCCCAACGACAGAAGGTGGACATTCGCTTTCAATTACACTCAATAATGCTTAAACCTACATATACCTTTATCTAATCATGGATTTAGACCTTACTTCAGACATACACATGAAGTCTATTCTAAATCAGCCAGCACTGCAAGATGTAAGTCCAAACAGGAGACCAAAAACTGGTGCAAGCTTTTACTTCCAGTTGGTTACAGAGGAAGATGAAGGCTGTTTTTACAAGAGTCAGTAAAAACAAAATCATTCAGAGCCCTGACCAAACACTAAAAACAATGGAACACATTACACCAGCCCTTCTACCACTTTATATGAAAGAGATTTCAGAATCTTGTTATTAATCTGTAAGGCAGTACCTGGTGACGGGGCCAGAGTTACCTCCAAGGTATCCCAATCCCTCGGGTTTCAATTACTACAGATCAGCAGGGACGTGTTTACTTGGTGATAACAGGAACAGGACTTCACTAAACCAATAGACTGGAAACTAATTTAATTTCCTTTTCATATCAATAAAATATTTTGAATTGAACTGAAACTGTAGAACAAGCTGATAAAGCAGCTAAGTTGTAGTGAAAAAAAAATTGGTTTACCCATTTTGTGGTTTCTCTGCTGCCCCCAAGTGGCCAAAAATAATACTTAGTTTTAGTTTTTTTGTTGTTGTTTTTTCTGTTTTTTTTACAGAAATTGGGCCTCGCTATGCAAAAAAAAAAGAAAAAAAAGAAAAGGAGTACTTTTAGACAAAAAGAGAATACAGAATCTTACCAGCTGCTTCACAGCATTCTGTTGCTCATGCATTATGTCCATATATGTAGAAGCTTTCTCTTTGCACGCGTCCTGCTCTGGGTCGTCATAACTAAGCAGGGTCTGTGTGGTCTACATGAAAGGAAAAAAACAATTCAGAAAAGAAATAAAAATAACAAAAAACAAAAACAAACTGAAAACATGGTTCATCTTGTCATGGAAGAAATTACTTTAACAAGAGTTTGGTTGAGAAGAGATAAGAAATTTATTAAAAACTTGCAAGGTGAGAACAGAAATACAGAGTCAAAGGAGTCTGTCAAGTCTGCTCTGACCAACAGTGGATCTGGCTTCCTTTTATAGGTTCTGGTCAGAGAAGAGAGACTTGATTGGACGAGAGGTGTGAATCCCTGATTGTTATGTACCAGGGATTCTGTGGAGCCCAACACAGATGGTCTGGCCATTTGTCTATTGTTAAGGAAAGTGGGTTGTTCTTTGACGCTAAAGGGGGCAGATAAGTCCTGGGTTGGAGGAGTAACACTAGATAGTCTCCAGGATCAGCGACCTTCTGCTGTTATACAACACTGTAGAAGTCTATAGGAGAGCAGCTTGACAAATCTCATGGTAAGATCATGCAGACACATGATCTAGTCATCAGACACAATATAAAGCACAAAAGGGGTGAGGAGCTCATTATAAAAACTTCCATTACAATCTTCTGCAGGCTCACCTCGTTGGGAAAACTGGCTTTGCGGCTATACATGAGCGAATACGGGGTGAACTTGATGGTCGGGTTGGCCGAGGTCCGGAAAAAGAACAGGACCGGGTCCAGAAAGTCATCCCAGTCGCCCTGCTTCTCCGTCACCATCTGCACCACGGCCTCCTTCAGCAGCGGCGCCGTGCAGTCGTGCAGCGGGTTGAGCTGAGGTTGATCCAGAGGAGACACCCTCTGCATCAAGCTCCACTTCTCACACAGCAACTTTGACACCTAAGGAAAAAAAAAGTGAAATAATTTCCCCAGACTTAACAGATCTGACCTTGAATCTGGAGGCTGCAGGCGTTTAGTGCAGACAGACTCACCTCTTCACAGAACTCTGAACTCTGCGCACACACTATTGTTTTAGGGGCTCCAAACCTGACGAAAAAGAAGACTTTAGGTTAAGAAAAGTTCAAGTTTCTCTTAAGTTACAGGAGTCTGCTAAAAGAATCCTCCATTTTGTCAGATTATAACCTCAAGCTGTATAGATGATTTTTATAGGAATGAGATAAGACGACCATGGTTAGTATGGAGGACCTGCAGAGATCTACAGCTCTGGACGACCTGATGACGCTGAAAAACGCATCACAATACAAGTGTTTCATATCAATCGATATCAATAATTATTGGTTAATTATTTGTTTTAAATATCTGAAATGCAGCGTGACCTTTCCTGATTTATCCACAGTTTTCACTCCACACCGTTGTTTTTAATTTTATTTTTAAACAATTGTCTATCAGGCACAGCAGCGAAACATGAAACTGCTGCTGCACAATTCACTCAACAGGTTGTTCCTAGGTAACCAAAGAGAGCGAGAGAGTTAGTTGATGCCATCCACCTAGCTAGCAAAGCTGGCAAAAAGATTGATCGTGTGTTTATCGCGATATATATTGTTATTAATTTATCATCCAGCCCTACTGAAGTTGCACCGCAGATGAACCAGATTCCTCTTACCTGTACACACACTTAGAGATACACCTTGCCACTGACGGCGGGTCTGTTGTCTGCGTGGGGAAAGCCTCTGGCCATTTACTAAAATAATCTATGAGTAGTACGACACTTTTGTTGCCATGCTGGCTTTCAGTGAAGGGCCCTGTTGAGGATAGAAGAGAGAACTTCAGCATAAAATCCTGTAAATGTAATTTCTTTGAATTCTCCAAACAGACCTATGAAATCTATCCCAACTATATCCCAGGGCGCGTCCACTTTAATGGGCCGAACTGTCCTGGCCAGGTTCTTGTTCCTCTCCGTTTGTTGGCAGGTCTCACACAGCTTGATCTAGAAGAGTGGCAGATGTGTGTTAGCGATGTGATATGTTAATGCAACAGCAGCAGGAAGAGGAAGTAAGGCAGGCTTACCCAGTCCACTACGTCCTTGATGATGCCCAGCCAGTAGTACTTGCTTTGGATCCTGTGGACGGTCTTCTTCT